AGGATTACTAACTTTCTGAAGAGTAAGTAAATATTACGAACCCGACGAGATTTGGGCTCTCCGTACGGTGGAGTAATGAGTAGCGGCTCGAGTTGAGGAATCGTAGAGCCGAGTTCGAATTCCATTCGAATCCATTACATTTATTTGCGTGCTAATAGCCTTCGGAAATGCATGAATCCTCTTCTTCTCCCCCCTCCCCCACAGCTATGGGTAAATAGCAGGACAGACCGGGTTCTATCGCCTTGGATTGAAACTTCCGCAAAAAGAAATGGCAACCTAGTGCGGGGAAATATTGGCTCGTCAGTCATGTATCGAAAGATACATGATCGCCTACGCGTGTATCACGCATGGCACATAACTGACTGATTAAAATTCTAAGCCGTTATCCATTGACTCACACTCAAGCTTATAACAGATGACATTCTAAAGTGGTCACCAATCCAAGAGTCGACATTGCTTAACTTCGGTGATCGTAGAAGAATCTGTGTTTCAATTTCATCTAGCTGTTCACCTATGAAAGTAAGAAGAAAGGTACCTAAGGAAAGCCGTAATGTACAACAGCCGAAGCGATGAGAGCATAACGTACCCTATGTCAATGCTGGTCTGAAAGGGAAGTAATCATCATAATATTTTCATTTCCTTGTTGATTAATATGTTCAGCTTTTAAACCGTCATTTTACGAGAAGTTACCAGAAACTACATCCGAAAGCAAAACGTCTCATCGGAACATTGGAGTTTTTGACAGGCGTGAAACCACCTCGCAATAACTTGTTTCCAGGTCCACCCTGACCCGGGGTGGTAGCATCTGTTGGGGTTCCAGCTATGGGCAAATATTCAACCACCCACAAGAAAAAAAAACACTATGAAAGTATTAAAATGCATTTTTTAATAGAATTACCAACAGTATCTAAATGTATTTTGTATTTAAAGGAAAATTAAATTAAATTAAAACTATTTTGTATTTAAAGGAAAAAGGGTCAACAATATATTTTCTCTGTAGTTGACTGCATGCGATTGCATTAAAAATGTATTTAGTTGAAATTATAAAAATTCTGTTCAAAATATTTACATTGATATACCAACCTATCCTACAGAAAATAAGCAGGACAGAGTATATATAATTTCACATAGTAAACATTGGAACGAGGATAATACGACTCATCCATCGTGCAATCGAGACGATGAATAAAACTGCAGGCGAAAATCCTGCCAAACCATGACAGAGCTGGTCGCCTAATTGGTTAAGTCGTCAGGGACGAAAGACAATCGACGAAGACTAAGTTCCTGATTACTTCGCTGGTTCTTCCTAATCCCGATTTCTAGCGGATTATTTTAACGATCATAAATAGATCGGTTGAAAACAATCGTAAACGCGTATACACAATCATACACATACACACACATACACACACGTACAGGCATGCCTGCACGTTCATACACATATATTATATGCAAAAATGTATAAAAATTCATATATGTATGTGTGTGTATTACTTCAAACGTTGTTTCCTGTGGATACCCGTGTTTGAAATAGACTCTCCATTTTATCTCAAACGGTGAGTCTTACGTCTATCGGCTTATGCATCCCAGAAAACTCAAGACAGAAAATGTTTTTTTCCGGTAGGGGCCGGGTTCCCCACAACAAAGCAAGAACAAAAGTCCATATAAACATGTCAAATCCTTCGTTTTTGAGTTGTTAGGTTTAAAGTTCACGGTAGACGCTGTTAAGTGTACAATGCAAGAAACAATCCAAGATACTGCCTAAAAATAGTTTTACAAACTTTGTGGGCACGGATCCTGTCTAAGCAGCGCGACGATAAACAACAGCAAAAGTTTGGCTGATTCGGCTGCCTTTGGCCTGGAAACGCTATGTGATAAATTCGGGCATTCTCGCGTCCATTACCATTCATTTAACAGTTATCTAGAATTTCTTTCATGGAAATTCATCTGATTTTCTTTACTAGTTAGTAATCCGACTAAATAACTTTAAACGTAGTACTAGATTGGCAGCTAGGTCTCATCATTTTACTGTTGACGTAGCTAGAGTTTCTTTCTCTCGAATTTCTCAGCTGTGGAATTCTCCCTGGTTTTTATTATACTATTGGACTCCACTTTGAGCAATAAGAACGTATAATTACTTTCCAAGCTCAACAGAAGAAACGTGATGAAATCGATCATAAACGAAAATGACATGTTCATCATTAATTAATCATAGCTAAGGATCGGAAGCTCATGAAGTACTGAAATAAAATTCAAATATATATATATATATATATATATATATATATATATATATATATATATTTCCAGGTTCATTTTACAACTTATTGAAGATGATCGTCATCCACTCTAACCTTCTAACTTTCTGTCCTGGATTAACAAGGTTCCTCGCACGTTTCACGCACGATTTCATTTTCAAGTTTTTTTTCACTGCCCTTTCGACTGTCATAGCTGAAACTCCTCTCTCAAGTTCCAAAAGTCTTATGGATTGAGTTGGATCTTTTCTAATTGATCTTTTTAGCTCTAAGATGAAATCGTGATCCTTCTTTTGTGACTTTCTGATCCAATTTTCCTCTCTTCTATTCCCTCATGCTTAAACTTCTTCACCGTTCTCTTGATGGTTCCAGGGTATGAATTTTGGTACCAAAAATGAAGGCGCAAATGGACTTTTCCCTCTCATCATTGGTGAGTTGGAAAGACAGTGAACCTGACACAAAATAACATTAACCTGCTGTATTATAGCTGAATATCTGCAATGTTATTTCATTGATTTTTACTAAAAATTGTGTCAAGATTGGTAAACAGCATATCAGAAAACCTTGAAAAGGAAACTCAGTTAGTTTAGTGGTTTTTTAGATAATAAACGGATGCGGCATGGGCAATTATGCTATTACAGGATATGGACAATGTTGCTGTTACGCCTGGTATCTATCTTTACCCATATATATATATATATATATATATATATATATATATATATATATATATATATATATATATATATAAATATTGGAAAAAAACACAAGTACTCCATGGTCATAATTTATTACATTGGAATCAAAAATACGATCCAATTTATCAGACCTACAATTTTTATTATATCCTTACTCTGTCCTGGACATTAAGTGCTACATGGATTCTATCCTCTTGGAATTTTTACACACACACACATATATATATATATATATATATATATATATATATATATATATATATATATATATATATATATATATATATTAAAATATAAAAAAAAACAGACCACTTTAAGGTACCATTATATTAGCTCTGGATTTACATTGAGCTCTCAGGATTTCATCCTATCCATGATTGTCCATACGGATTACCATGTTCTTCATAACTTATATATATATATATATATATATATATATATATATATATATATATATATATATATATATATATATGTGTGTGTGGGGGTAGTTTGTATATATATGTGTGTGTTTTAGATATATGTACGTATATGTATGTGTATATTAACACTAATATTATCCATATATATATGCATATCTATATATATATATATATATAGTTAGATAGAGAGAGAGAGAGACAGAGACAGGGACAGAGACAGAGATGTAAATAGATAGATAGAAGTGTATATATAAGCTAATAATTGGATATTAGCAACTGTATATGCGTGCGTTAACGTACATACACAGATAAGCGAATAAATATTTACTTAATTTAATATAAGGTGTGAAAAAGTTCTCAATATAGTTAAACTTAGCTAAGAAGTATATATTAATAAACATGAATATACCTACGTTTGTAGTGCTGCTTAACGTTTCAAAAAGTTTCTCAATTAAAATACAAAGTATCATTCCATTATCAAGCGATGCTAAGAATAACATTTTAGAAATTGGTTTACTTGTATTTTAAGTTCAATTTTTAGGATTGAATTTGAATTTCAGTTTTGAAATATGGGAATTTCGGTGTTGCGATGATAATATATAAAAAAAACAATTATAATATTATGATACTGTTGTATCGAACACTGTTTCCTTTTAAATAAAAAATAAATGCTAAGAACTGTGAATTATAAATCTCATTGCCCTTTCTTATTATTTTAATATATATATATATATATATATATGAAAATATAGAAAATAGGAAAGAACTGCTTAGGTAAATAATCAAAAAGAAATTTCGCTTAAAAATGGAACAGAGCTTACTTTAATTCAATTTAATTCAAATAATTATATTGAAGTTTTCGGCTCTTGTTTTGAAACATGAGACCTCTTATGTGGGGAGTTGGAATCATATTTTTAAATTAATAATTATACATATATATATATATATATATATATATATATATATATATATATCGAAAGAGAGCGAAACATAGATAGATAGATAGATAGATAGATAGATAGATAGATAGATAGATAGATAAAAGGAAAGAAAGGACGAAACAATGAAAAAGATAAATTTTCGATAAATATAAAAGAAATGAAACAAGTATTAATTGTTAGTCAGAATAAAAAAAATGCAAAAAAAAGAAAAAAAAAGAACAACCATTGAAATAGGATAATAATCCATAAACAACGGAGTATTAGTCGGAATTTTTAAAAAAAATGGAAATTGGCATGAAAATTAAGAAAGAATGAATGAATGATTCGTATAAAAGACAAAAACCAAAAAAGAAGTGACAACATGCGTTATTGAATCATGAAGGTCATAAAAGTTGAGGTTTTCACCTCTTCTTAACATTATTGTTTAGTGGCGCTAATATCGTTTTATATAAAGCCTATCAACTCGGTGCACACGGCTCGCTAAGAAACTTCAAATATTCTAATAATACGATTGATGAGGAAAGAGTGAAAAACATCACCAAGAATACAATGAAAGAAAATTGCGACGATACACAACGAGTAACAGAGAATCCAGTGAAATATGGCCATGTTTAAACGCCTTTAATAGAATTTGCAAATATTTGAACAGAGTTAACCATACACTTAATCGAAATATTAGGAAATATGTTGTTTTTTGGTGTTCTTCTTGTCATCTTCTTTTTCCCCATCTTCTTCTCACACTTATTGCTTTCTTCTTCTTCTTGCTTTCTCTTTTTTCTTCTTCTTCTTCTTCTTCTTCTTCTTCTTTGCCTCCTTGCCTTCTTTTTCTTTTTTTTTCTCTTTCTGTTTGCAATCATCTTCTCAATCTACTTCTCGTTCTAGTTGTTGTTCTTTACATTTTCTTCTCCTACTCCCCCGCTTCCTTGTCTACTTCTTCTTTGCCTACTTGTCTTTCTTCTTCTTCTTCTTCTTCTTCTTCTTCTTCTTCTTGACTCTTCCTTCCTCTTCCTCCTTGCCGTATTCTTCTTGCCATTTTCTTTTTCTTCTTCTCCTTCCCCTCCTCCTTGCCTCCTCCTCTTCCTTCCTTCCTTCCTTCTTTCTTCTTCTTCTTCTTCTTCTTCTTCTTCTTCTTCTTCTTCTCTATTTTATTCATCTTCTTTTCTCCCTCTCCTTCACTCTTCCTTCCTCTTCCTTCTTACCGTTTTCTTCTTTCCATTTTCTTTTTCTTCTTCTCCTCCTCCTCCCCTCGCCTCCTTGCCTCCTCCTCTTCCTTCCTTTCTTCTTCTTAATTTTCTTTTTCTTCTTCTTCTCCTCCGCCTCCTTGCTTCCTCCTCTTCCTTCCTTCCATCCTTCCTTCCTTCCTTCCTTCCTTCCTTCCTTTCTTTCTTCTTCTTCTTCTTCTTCTTCTTCTTCTTCTTCTTCTTCTCTCGGTTTTAATATGTGCTGTGTTTGCTTGGCTCTAAACTCACGTTTACCACCTATAAGAAATGAGTGACTTCATTCATTTTTTCATTTATTCCGCTTTATTATACTCTTTCTCTATTTAAACAATTCAGTTCGCCTGTTTGTCCTTCTTGATTTTCTTTTCTTTCAGAAGGAATAAAAAATGAAGATATTTCATTCATTTTCTCCTTCCCATCCTTCGTTCTTTTTTTTCTCCCAAGCCCGTAACCCCTTAATAACAACAAAGAAAACTATGACCATATTATCTCTAAACCAACCCCCAACCCGATGTGACACAATAATGCGGCCCGCTCATATATTTAGCTTTTAGCTTGAATTAATGCGTTTGCCCGACTGTTAGTTCGCTGATATTACAAATCGCGCGCGGGACTTCCGTTAGCTGTTTAGTCGACCGGTTGGTTGGTGGTAGGGTCGGATTTGTAATAGTGGCTTCAGGGAATGGCCTGGCTGGAGAGGAGTGGGGTGTCAGTCGGGTCAGGTGGATGGGCTGGAGGTCAGGGGCAAGCATCTGTTTATTTAGGTGCAGCTCATCTTCATCCATACCAACCTCCCATAAACCAGTCCCAAGTATTTTTTTCGTGTTGCTTGTTTTAATTTTATTTTAGCTGCTGTTTTTCCTTTTTTCTTTTCTTTTCGTTTTTTTTTTTTTTTTCGCCTTACGGTCCTTCCTCTGCATTCTCCTTTTTACCCGTCCCGTTTACTGACTGCCCCGGGGTAAAAGACTCATCCATCCAACAAGACCGTGGTTATCGTATAAATGATTTTGTTGTTGTTATTGTGCTTGTTTTGTTGTGGTCGCCACTGTTATTGTTGTTTATTTGTTGCTGTCTCTTTCTAATATTGCCAAACTCTGTCTTCATTTAGTTTTGTTTGCGTCGACATCCATGTTTGTTTTCTTTCCTTCCTTTTACTGACCGCCATATTTTCTTTTTGGTTAACTAATTTGTACTCCTCAATTCTGTGGATTTGCTTCAATCTTTTCCTTCTTTTTAACTAAATAATTTGAGTAACTCAATACTCCAATTCTTTTTCTTTTTCGTTCTTTCTTTCGTTGCCTTTTTCTTTCTCTCTTTCTCATAGGTAAATAATTTGTATAACTCAATATTTCAATTCTTTCTTTCTATCATTTTTAGTTAAATAATGTGTACTGCATACCTTTATGAATTTACTTAATTTCTTCTTTCTTTCTTTCTTTCTTTCTTTCTTTCTTTCTTTCTTTCTTTCTTTTAGCTAAATAATTTGTGCACCTCAATACTTCACTTATTTCTTCTTCCTTCTTTCTTTCCTTTATTTTTCTTTCATTTTTACCTAAATAATATGAACTATTCACTTTTATGAATTTAATTAATTTTTTCCCGCCTTTATTTTTTCTTTCTTCATTTTTTTCGTTTATTCTTTCTTTTAACTAATTAATTTGTGTACCTCCCTCAGTATTTCAATATATTCTTTCTTCTACTTACTTTCCTTCTTTATATTTTTCTTTTAATTTTTTTACCTAAATAATTTGTACTTTTATGAATTTACTATATTTCCCCTTTTTCTTTCTTTCCCTCCTTTTAGTTAATTAGTGTTAATCAATAATTCCATTCTTTCTTTCTTTTTTACTTCCCATCATTTCTTCCTTTCTTTCTTTTTTCTGTCTCTCTTTCTTTTAGCTCTTTTTTTTCCTTCATTTTTCTTACTTTCTTAGATTCTCTCTTTCTTTCTTACTTTTTTCATTTCTTCCTTTCCTTCCTTCTTTCTTTCCTTCTTTTTTTAGCTAAGTAATTTTTGTACTTCAATACTTCAATTTTTTTCTTTCTTTCTCTCATACTTCTTTTATAATCCTTTCTTTCTTCCTTATTTTCCTTCATTTCTTTCTTTCTTTCTTTTAGCAAAATGATTTGTGAAACTCAATACTTCAATTCTTTCTTTCTCTCCTCCACACTTCTTTCTTTCTTTTTTTCTTTTTATTTTCTTTCTTTCTTTCTTTCTTTCTTTCTTTCTTTCTTTCTTTCTCTTTAGGTCTAAATATTTCTAGCCCCAGAATTTTATGGCTTTACTTCAGAGCATTCAAATTCTTCTTTGTCTTTCCTTTCTCATTCGATTTATTTATTTATTTTATTTTTTTTTTTTCATATTCTTTTTGTCTAAATAATTTTTTCATCTTTCATATTAAAAAACAAAATAAAATTTAAAATATGTAAAATGTACCCCCGAAACTTTTGGTAAAAATGTACCATCTATTCACACACACAAACACGCAAACGCACGCACACACACACACACACACACATATATATATATATATATATATATATATATATATATATATATATATATATATATATAATGTATATTTGAGCAGCAACATTTTTTCAGATATCTTTCGTTGAATATGACAAACAATGAAAATTTCATTAATTTTTTGATGAGTTTTCCTAGTATACTTAAATTTTTTACGTTTAGTGGAGTTAAGGGTGTGTGTGTGTAAAATTCGTTATTGTGTATTGACTCAAGAGCTTTCGGTCACTTCATTAGCCATTTTCAAGTGTTTGTCGTTAATTTCTTTTCATATATTAAAAACAAACCCTTTAAAAATGGCTAAAGAAGTGCCCGAGAGCGCTTGTTTTTAATACACCGAACGGGCAATTTTTCTCACCATAAAGAAAATTTTATATATATATATATATATATATATATATATATATATATATATATATATATATATATATATATGTGTGTGTTTTTACGACGCCCCTTTCATATATCGTATGGAGAGTAGAATCAATGTTATGTCGAAAAACAGTTTAACGCATGCATACAAGATAAATCGAACAAGTCCCTATGCAGTTTTAACTACAACGTTCAAATTGCCGATAACGAGCACTATTCTCCAATAACTAACTGTATGGTGATTTTCTAAGCTGTGGCACAAGGTCGAAAGTATAGGGCACCCAGTGAGGTTCAAACCCATTACGCAGTCTTAATTGTTCTAGCAAGACAAGCTTGCTAACAATTACACCACGTCCGTGTGTCCATTCTCCTATAATTATAAAGATATCAAACAATGGCACATTTGCTGTTGGGTTTCTTGCTATGGTGATTTTCTAAGCGTATCTTAGATGTGGAAGAAGGCCGGACATACGGGGCACCCAGTGAGGATAGAAGTCACTATTCAATCGTAATTGTTCTAGTGAGACAATCTTGTTGACCATTACACCACGTCGTAGTTACCGTTCTCCAATAGCTATATGAATATTAAAGAACAGCACATTTGGTCTGGGTCTCCTGCCATGTATTGAGAGATTCTTAACTTAATCCTAAATATAATCGGTCCTGACTTGGCATCTCCACTTCAGGCACTTACGCACAGGCATTTTAAAATTTCTATGAATATTTTCACGCTAATTTTTCCAGTGAGTTTTCCTCTTTGCTTTCTCGACTTCACGAATTTAAGCGACGTACTAGATTGGCGGCTAGGTCTCATAGTTTTACTTTTTAAATTAATTAGTGTAAGTTATATGCTAATGATTTCTTCTCTCGTACTTCCCACGTTATGGCTTCTCTTTCCCACCCCTGTCAATAACGATCGTCAACAATTTAAATGCATTGTCAATTGTCGTCAACTGTCTACTCTTCCTATATTTTCCTTTCTCCTCAGTAAAATATTTCTCATATTCTTTCGCTGTTAATAACACGTTTAGTCTTAGTGTCATTAACGATTTGCTTGAGGAGAAATGATAACAAAATTACCTGCATAATTTTCTAATTCAGCATCCCTTTTATACTCCAGCATGCAGGATTTAAAAGATGAAGCGATTTTACTGTTTAAAATCTCACAGCAGAAATATCTTGGCTTTTTTTTTTTCGCTGTAAAGTTGGTCTTAGTTCTCATTTTCTTGGATACCCTGTTATTTTAACCATTTTAAAATCCTTTTCTGGTAAGATGATGATTTTTTTTTTGCAATGCTGTTCAAGCTGTACAAGGTTCGAGGACTACTCGAGGTAGAGGGTTACAGATTAAGAAACACAGCTTATGTGGATATGTGTGGAAGATAACGGTTAACTGGAACAGGTTAAGACTGTAATGACCGGGGAAGTATCTTGTTGGGCGTCGATTCCACAAGACACTGTTTCGAGGGAAGAAGCTGCTGGAGTAGAACTTACATCTCACCCAAGGAATACGAAGGGAATGAGGGTAGTTCCCTGCAGTATGTGTGGCATGGCAGACCTTAGCAGTGAATGTTAGGATTGATGGAATTAGATACACGGATGACACTGTGTTGAAAGGCTGAAAGGACTCCTAAACTAAAGAAAAGCGGAGTAAATTGACATTCTTCTATATGACGTGTCTTTTCGGGACGTGAATTGTCATAGCTCTCTCCTATTCATTGCGGTCCTGTCGTTTTCACTTTTTTTAAAACTATATTCACCCAATACAACGCCCAAGTGCCACTCAAGGTAGAGGGTTACTGTGTAGAGTTGCATTAGCGTAAGAAAGGGCAAGAAATGAAAATCTTGCATATAGGAAATATAACAGCTACTTGAAGAGGTGAAGATTTAATTAGTGAATAAAACTTCAGAGCTCAGATGGAGACATTAGAAGTATAGAATTGAAGTAGTCTTTAGAAGGAACCGAAAGCCAAATACAAAACAGGAAACAAAGCATAAGTCTCAAAAAGAGTGGATGAGTGTGAACCGGGCGATAGGCAAAGCTATCTACTCCTATTGAAAAACATATCTAGTCCTATATTTTTATGTCTGCTACGAACACAGTGTCTTAACTTATATTGTTATGGTTCCAGTTATTTTAGGATAGTCTCACTTAGATAAGTCCGGAGAGGAGACCCACCCTTGTCATTCGTCTCTTTCCCCATATGTGGGAATTCTCCATTTGCCCAGCTTTCTGACCCACTTTCCGACATCCATTCAAACATGCTCGTCAGGTCGGTGATCCTCTGTGTTCCTATATCTCTCTTGTCCTCGATATGCCCTGTGTAGGTCAAATTCTCCAAGACTTTTACGCTGGAATTATGGATAGCGGTTCAGATTGAGAAATCGGAGTGCCGAGTTCGAATCCATTACATTCTAATCCATTCCATTCGAATCCATTACATTCACTGACGTGCTAATACATTTCGGAAAGGTATGAATCCTCTTCTTCAACGCCCAGCTATGGGTAAATAGCAAGACAGACCGGGTTCTATAGCCTTGAATGGCAACTGGTCTACCGCAGAATGAAATGACAACCTACTGCGGGAAAAATCTGCCTCGTCAGTCATATATCGAAAGATACATGATTGCCTAAGCGTGTATCACGCACGGCTGATGTATCCAATAAATTTCAACTGTCACTTTTTGATTCTGTATATTCCTTTTGTTAATAATTTATTTAGACTTCCTCGTTGCTTAATTGCACTTTCCATGGAATTCACAGTATCCTTCTGTAGAGCCACATTTCTTCTACTTCCATATTTCTCTTCATCTTTGGAGAGATTCTCCGACATTCGATGTTATACAAGAGGACTGATATCACATAGAAGTTAAGCACTTTTTTCTTTGTTTCTAATGACATTTTCCTGTTTCTTATTACTTTGATTAGCTTAGGGAAGGCATCTTTCGTTAATCCGATGCGCGTTCGGATTTCGGTGTCACATTTTTGTTAATCCTCTGTTAAAACACTTCTCAGATATTTAAACTTCTGTACTTGATTGATGTTAATATCCACAGTTCGTAATTCTTATGATGTTCTTTTTCGCTTACTGAGAACCACATTTAATTTCTTCTATGTTCACCCAATACAAGACGCAAATTCCACTCAAGGTAGAGGGTTACTATGTGAAGTTGTATTAGCGTAAGAAAGGGCAAGAAATGAATCTCTTGCAGCTAATTCTGAACTTGAAGAAGTCAAGATTTAATTAGTGAATAAAACTTCAGAGCTCAGATGGAAACGTTAGAAGTATAGATTTGAAGTAGAATTTTGAAGGACCCGGAAACCAAATACAAAACAGGAAACAAAGAATAAGTCTCAAAAAGAGTGGAGGAGTGTGAACCGGGAGATAGGCAAAGCTATCTACTCCTATTAAAAAACCTATCTACTCATATATTTTTATGTCTGCACATTGTCTTATCTTATATTTTTACGGTTCCAGTTATTTTAGCATAGTCTCACTTAGATAAGTCCGGAGAGGAGACACATCCTTGTCATCTGTCTCTTATGTGTACCTACTTAATTCAATTTATATCTGTATGCAGGCAGTTTGCTTCCAGTATAATTTCTGGTATATGCGAACATCTTTTCGAAATCGATCTAGTTTTCCTAGACATTCAAATAGAACCTTGTGCCATACTTTGTGAATACTTTGCATAATCTATAAAATGGGCACATACTTCTACATTTGTATTGTTCTTCGATATTATTCTGATAATAAATATCACATTCCTTGATTCCAATGTCCTTAACAAAGCCGCACAGTTCTAATCTAATACCTCTTCGCGCTCTATTCATCAGGATTCGGATCATTAGCTTGGTTATGTGGCTCATTAAGCTGATTGTCCGATAAAGCTCGCTTTGCACCTGATTTATTAGGTAATAATGCGAAGATGGATCTACTGAGGTCCGCCGGAATGTCACCACCGTCAAATATTTAGTTTATTACTTCTGTATTCTGTCGATGCCGAAATCCTCTAAAGCTGAGAGCATTTCTTTTACGATCGCATTTGGTCTCACTGCTTTATTCCTCTTCATTCTATCATCTTACTTCAAATTTTAATATTTTCGGCCCTTCCATATTTTCGTGTGTTATAAGCCTCTCTCTCTCCCCTCTCTTCCTCTCCCCCTCTCCTCCCTCTCCCCTCCCTCTCCCCTCTCTCTCCCCCCCTTTCATTGTGAAATAGTTCTTTGACGTATTCCCTTTACCTTTGGAGTATTTTTCTTTTTCTATTATTAGTGGTCTTTCCTTTGATTTCATTTAGAATCTTGATAAAAACACTATTCCTGATGTTAATTATATTATTCTGTT